TACTAGACTTAATAAATGAATTTGGCAAAGTAGCAGGATACAAAATTAACATCAAGAAATCGATGGCATTCTTATACCCCAATGATGAAGTCACAGAAAGAGAAACTAAGAAAACAATCCCATTTACCATCTCGACAAAACAATTAAGATATCTAGGAATAAACTTAAAGAAGTAAAGGACCTATTCACAGAAAACTACAGGACATTTAAAAAAGAAATAGAGGAAGATATAAAAAAGTGGAAGCACATACCTTGTTCATGGATTGGAAGAATTAACAACATTAAAATGTCCATATTACCCAAAGCAATCTATAGATTCAATGCAATTCCCATCAAAATACCCACGACATATTTTACAAAACTAGAACATATACTTCAAAAGTTCATGTGAAACCAAAAAAGATCCCAAAGAGCCAAAGCAATCTTCAAAAAGAAGGACGAAGTAGGTGAGATCATAATACCAAATATCAGGTTATACTACAGTAATCAAAACAGCCTGCTACTGGCACAAGAACAGGCATATAGACTAGTGAAACAGAATAGAGAATCCAGAAATGGACCCAAGGCAATATGCTCAATTAATATTTGACAAATGGGGCAAGAGCATACAGTGGAGTAAAGACAGCCTCCTTAATAAATGGTGTTGGGAAAATTGGACAGCTACATGAAAAAAAAAAAAAAAATGAAACTAGACCATCAACTTACACCATATACAAGAATAAACTCAAAATGAATAAAAGACTTAAATGTGACTCATGAATCCATAAAAATCCTAGAAGAAAATGTAGGCAACAAAATTTCAGATATCATACGCAGCAGAATTTTCACTGATACATTACCTAAGCAAGAGAAACAAAGGAAAAAATGAATGCATGGTACTACATCAAACTAAAAAGCTTCTGCACAGCAAAAGAAACAACCATCAAAATGGAAAGGGAACCCACTGTATGGGAGAGCATAATTGCCAATGATATATCAGATAAGGTGTTAATTTCCAAAATATATAGAGTATTCATACAACTCAACAAAAGGAAGACAAAGAACCCAATTAAAAAATGGGCAGAGGACCTAAATAGACACCTCTCCAAACAGGACATACAAATGCCCAAGAGATATATAAAGAAACGCTCAACATCACTAATCATCAGAGAGATGCAAATTAAAACAACAATGAGGTATCACCTCACACCTGTCAGAATGGTCGCCATCAACAAATCATCAAACAACAAGTGTTGGTGAGGGTGTGGAGAAAAGGGGACCCTAGTGCACTGCTGGTGGGAATGCAGACTGGTGCAGCCACTATGGAAAACACTATGGTGTTACCTCAAATTAAAAATTGAATTGCCATTTGATCCAGTGATCCCACTTCTAGGAATATACCCTAAGAAGCCTGAAAGACCAATCAGGAAGAATATATGTATCCCCATTTTTATAGAAGCACTATTTACAATAACTAAGATCTGGAAATAGCCCAAGTGTCCATCAGTAGGCAAATTGATAAAAAAGCAGTGGTACATATACATAATGGAGTACTGTGCAGCTATAAGAAAGAAAGATCTCTTATCCTTTGAGATGACATGGAGGGACCTGGAAAGTATTATCCTAAGCGAAACAAGCCAGAGAAAGACAAGTATCACGTGATCTCACTTATTTGTGGAATATAATGAACATAACAGTATGGGGAATTGGGTAGACCCAGAGATGTGGAAGTGGGGTACAGACTGACAACCCTCAGAAAGAGGGGGTGGTGGGGGGAGGGGAGGGGAGAGATAAACCACAGAACTTATATGCATGTATTCATAACTGGTGGACACAGACAACAAAGCCAGATATGGGGAGGGGGTTTGGGGAGGAGGGTGTCAATGGGGAAAAAAAGAAGAAACATCTGTAGCAAAAATAAATTAATAAAAAATTTTTTTTAAATCATGACTGAAGACTCCTCAAATTTTTTTTTTTTTGGGGGGGGCAGGAGACACAAGTATACAGATTCAAGAAGTTTAATGAATCCAACAAAGAATAAGTTTAAACAACTCTACACAAAGACATATAATCAAACTTTTGAAAATGAAAGACAAGAGGAAAAATGTCTAAAAGCAGCAAGAGAAAAATAACATCTTATATATAGGAAAAAAACAATTTCAATGGTAGCAGACAAACCATAAAAAAACATGGAGGCCAGCGGGAAGAAGCACAATATTTTTTACATGCTGAAAATAAGAACTGTTAACACAGAAGTCTATGTGTGGTAAGAATATTTTTCAGGAGTGATGGAAAAATCAAACTATAATTAGATGAAGAAAAACTAACAGAATTTGTCACCAGCATACCTACTATAAAAAAACAGCTAAATGAAGTTTTCTAAATGAAAATAAAATAATAATAAAAAAAAACATAGAGCCTGCAAAAAGGAAGAAATTAAAATGTTAATAGTAAAAATCTGGGAAAAGACATTTTAATTCTATTGTCTGTTATGTTTGATGATTGAAGGAAATCTCCAACACTGCCATGTTTTAAAATGTACATAGAGAAAATATTTATACAATTATATTATGAATATGGGAAAATGGGAGGGGACAAATGGACATAAAAGCTGGTGAACTTTCTACACTTTATTCAAAATGACTAAATGTCAACACCAGTTCTCTGTAATAAGTTGTGTATACATAATATAATACCTGGAGCAAATACTAAAAAAGCTATACGAAGTGATATACTTAAGAACACTATAGATTAATCATGCTGGAACTCTAAAATAATTCAAGTAAACAACAGGCAGCAAAAGAAAAAAAAAAGAGAAATAGAAAACAAAATATAAAATAACAGATATAAACTTCAAATATCAATAATTACATTAAGTATAATTGGCCTAAATATACCAACAGAAGAACTAAGATTGACAGAGTAATTAAAAAACATAACCCAACTATATCTGTCAATAACACATTAACTTCAAATGTAGCAATATAAGTAGGTTGAAGTAAACAGCTGAAAACAGTTATACTTTTAAATAGTGACTGCTTTCCCATTAAGATTAGGAACATATGTGGATACCAGTTCTCTTTATTCTATTTCAGTATAGTACTGGAAGTTCTAGTCAGTGTAATAGAAAAATAAATGAAAATGAGAAGCAAACAGATTGAATAAGAAGAAATAAAATTGTCCCTATTTACAGATAATACAATAGTCTACACAGAAAACTCCAAGAAACCTACCAAAAAACATGACAAATAAACCAAACAAAAAAACCCTTTCAGTGCAGCAAGGTCACAGAACCCAGATAAACACAAATATCAATTGTATTTCTATACTAGCAATGAACATGAACGCACAGACACCAAAATTAAAAACTACAATACCATTTACAATTGACAAAAAAAGTGGAATATTTATGTGTATACCTACCAAAATATGTATAGTACTTTTATATTAAAAACAAAAACAAAAAAACAAAAGAGCCCTGGCTGGGTGGCTCAGTTGGTTCAAGTGCCATCCCATACACCAAAGGGTTACAGGTTTGATTCCTGGTCGGGGCACATACTTAGGTTTCGGGTTCAGTTCTGGTTGGGATGCATATAGGAGGCAACCGATTGATGTTTCTCTTTCACATTAATGTTTCTCTATCTCTCTCTGTCCCTTTTTCTCTAAAAATCAATAAACATGTCCTTGGGTAAGGATTAAATATATAAAGACAACAACACAGATGAAAGAAACCAAAGAGCTAAATAAATGGAGAGTCATACTATGTCCATGGATTAGAAGACTCAACATAATAAACATGTCTAGGTTTCTTTTATTATTTTATTTTCTCCAAACTGATACAAGGTTTAACACAATTCCTATCATAATTTCAGCAAGATTTTTTTGTAAACATAAAGATTGTTCTAAAATTTATATGGAAAAGCAAAATAGCTAAAACAATTTTTAAAAATAAAAATAAAATGAAAGAAATCAGTTCACCCGATTTCAAGACCCATTACATAGCTACAGTAATCCAGACAGTGTATATTGGCAAATGGACAGGCACATAAATCATTGGAACAGAAAGTGAACCAGGAAATAGACCCACACAAATATTCCCGGATGATTTTTAACAGAAGTACAAAAGCAATGCAGTGGAGAAAATAGAGGCTTTTCAACAAATAGTGCCAGAGCAATTAGACATTTACAGGTAAAAACACATAAATTGATGAACAAACAAACATAAATCTCACACCTTGTACAAAAATTAACACCAAATGGATTGCAGACTTAAATAAAACTACAAAACTTTTATAAAAATAGAAGAAAATCTTTGGGACCTAGTATTAGGCGGAATTCTTAGCCTTGACACCAAAACCAAGATTCGCAGAAGGAAAAATTGATAAATTGGCTTTAATAAAATAAAAAATGTTTTGCTCTGCAGATGTCCCTGTTCAGGAAATGAAAAGACAAACTATAGAGTAAGAGTAAATATTCAAAAACAACATATCTGACACATGATTAGTCTGTAGAATATATTTTTTAAAACTCTCAAAACTCAACATTTAAATAGCTAAAAATCTTATTTGAACATAGGCAAAATACATGGAGAGACATTTTACCAAAGATATAGGTGGCAAATAAACAAATGAAAAGATGTGTTTGTTAAATAAAAGTACCTCATACTCATTTTTTTTTTTAAAGTTAATTTCAAACAGTTAGAGACCTATAGGTGAAAGCCAAAACTATGCTAGAAGAACATCTGGAGAATATCTTCTTGATGCTGGGATAAAAATAATTTCTTAATCCTTAAAAATCACTCTAGTTTTATTAGTAAAATGGAATTTCTGGACTCAAAACTCTTAGGTGAACATAGATGTTCCACCAGGGTGTCACCACCCTAAAGATCCGGCTGACCTGTCTTCAATGTCTCCATCTCTGTTTCTTTCACTTCTTTAAATTAAATTCTTTATATTGATTAATGTTGTTAAAGATATTTTGAGACTCATATTAAAATAAAAGAGTTTACATAAAGTACTTACAGTTCCTCCCATTCTTTTTTTCGCTGCTGAATTTTATGCTGGGCTCTTTCAGCTTTTAATATAAGTTTCCTCGTTTTCTCAATTTGATTATCCACCATAATTTGACTTAAGGTCTTAGGTCGAAACTCCTTCCCTTTTTCTATCATTGATTCTTCTTGGATGCTATTATTCCCTCCTGTATGGAGTCAACATTTTTTTCAATCTTTTTGAAACATCAAAATGAAATTCTCAAATATTGTTTTTAATCTACCACACATTTTAAAATCCAGAGAATAAAATCCAGAATCTTTAAATCACAGTATTTATTAAGCAACTACCATGAATTCAACAACATAATGCATATTTTAGAATATCAAAATAAAGAGATCTAAGATACAGTATTTGCTTTTAAGGACCTTATTGAAAAGTTGGCTAGATAAAACACATATTAAACAGATAAATACGATGTTACTGCTGACATGCATATTGAGAAGCTGGGAAGGAGTGTTTGTGATATGATAGTAGGGGAAGAGGAAAGCAAGGGAGTCCCAGATGAGATGTATAATTTGAGGTGACACATATACCAACTGCAATGATCTGTGGCCAATTAACAAAATAATCAGAAACATACAATCAAATCTATAATTTTAAAGTTGCTGGCTTTAGTCTTTCAAGGGGATGGACAAGGCCACCTGGGATGTCATGTCTGAGATCCCGGTACTGAAAACTAATGTCAAACTGGAGATCAGGAGCTATGGGTGTGGTGACACAAGTAGGAATATTAGTCTCCTTATAGAAGAAAAAAATAAAATCGCAGACAATGATTGGTTCCCAGTGCAGTCCAACAAGGAAGGGACTGGATGGTGTGAAAAATGCTGGTATATTCATGATCTCCTCAAATATGAGATTGCCATCGAGTTTGACATTCCTATCACATATCCCACCACAGCTCCAGAAATTGCAGTCCCTGAACTGGATGGAAAAACAGCAAAGATATGTACAGAGGTGGCACAATATGTCTGACTGATCACTTTAAGCCTTTGTGAACCAGGAACGTACCCACGAGACTAGCTCATCTCATGACTTTGGGGCTGGGTCCATAACTGGCAGTAGAAATCCTGGATGTGATTCAGAAAGATGGGATTCAGCATAAAGAGAAATGCAAACAATGAAGGATCAAGCCAGAGTCTGGGCAGAGGGCCCTTTGATAGGCTATGTTTCTGTTTTCCTGTTCATCCCTCTTCTCACTCATCTAACTGCTTTCCTCACACTCCTTCACCTACTGTTACTATGTAGCTGCAGCACCCATTGCTGAAAACAACAACAAAACAATATCGCTACTGAAGTTCTAAGGCTACACAGGGAAGGGAAAGACAAGGGCTTTAGAAAACTAAAGGCAATGTGCATCCCTTCCCAAAGTAGTGCAGTGTGAGATCCTGCACAGATAAGGGATGACTGAAAGTGGGTACATGGTCTTTTTGGTTTCTGGAGATAACATCAATAAAAACTACTTCCTCTGGGAGGGAAAGTTATTACCTTTATCAATAAGTATCTGCTGGGGGAATTACTCAATTCATGTTCAAGCTACAGAGAGATATACCTTAGAGTTACATGAAAAAAAGTTAATGAGATGGTCATATAGTTATAACTCACATGTCATATTTCAAATATAGGATAGTGCAAAAAAGAAAGAGTTTAATGTTTCCTGGATGGTGATGGGAGGGGTTTATTTTTTTAAAAGTGTGATTCAATCTGGATCCCCATAATTGAGCAGAATTCAGAGAGAAGAGTGAATTGGTCACTCTAGCAGGAACCTGGATATGGATGCATCAGGCATAATTAGGGAGCAGCAAGCAGGACAATAGGCTAAAAATATAAGTCAGATAGTATAAGAATGAACCATTAATAGGAAACAGAATAGGGATATACGTGGAAGACAATACTGGGATAATGTTTTCAGAATTTATCCTATAGGCAGAAAAGAGCCGTTCCAGTTTTCCCAATGGAGAGGATAAACCAGCTTTAATGTTAATAGTGTATCATGGGCAGCCCAGGTCTGACCAGACTACAGAGCCCTTTATCTGTCTTGACCGGGCTTTCCAGCCATTCCTTAATTCTTGTCTTCCTTCCAGTCATCTGCAGTCATCCTGTAGGAGGTCAAAAGGCAGGTCATCGGAATTATAGGTACTATTTTCACGTCTGTATTCTCAGCTCATCATTCCATTTAAAGCACATGCTCTTGGAAAACAGTTTGAAATATTGTGTTCTAGCCCCACACTCTGAGGTGGAGCCCAGCAATCTGGGAAGAAACAATGCCTAGAAATTGGCATCTGGGGAAATCCTAGATTTAAGAATAGGTAGATATGGGAAGCATTGGGTACCCTTATCCTGTCAGTCACATGACCAGAGTGAGTTTTCTTTTGCAGCCTGTATCAAATAGGAAAATTGATGTGGAGTCTTTGCTGGAGTAACTTGGCCTCTCCTTCTCAGCCATACAAAGCTCCTTTGATTGTTCATTTCAAAGGAATGAAGGACAGGAGACAAGAGATTGAGCTCAAGCCACCAAAAAAGCATTCCAATGTTCTGCCTACAAAAATACAATTTGGTTTTGAAATCTTAATAAGTTAGGATTTAAATGCCTTCTTGTCATTTAGGTTACCTGTTTCTTTCTGGCTATCCTTTCTTCCAGTTCCCTCTTTTTCAAACCTCTCCATTTTGCTTGTTCTTCTGTCAAACTGACTGATCCGTCTGGATTTGGAGTACTTGGAGGGCTTCACAAGCCTATAGGAGGATACCTTGTGATCGCTCTGTATGGCATGAACCACAATAATATCACCTTCCAGTGAATCATGAAACCTGCGAGAAGAAAACAAATATCTGCATAGTCACCATTTTAATCATCGACACCATTTCAGTCATTCTATCTGATTATTAGGTCATAAAACAAGACTGCAACACACTATGCTTGTAAATAATTCATAATACACTGGATCCAAAATTTAGCCATGCATATATCAACAAGGATGTGATGGAAGTTGAATAAGACTTGGTTGAAGAGCAAGTAGAATTTTCTTTCTAATGAAAATACTAAACAACCCATTAGGTTGGTACAATACCACTGTTTTGCTAATGTGTAGAAAATAAAAGTGTCAAGCTAACTACAGTTAATAGTAAATGGATCATTTCAAACTGAGAAAATGTAATCTACCTCCCGATCTATTAACTCCAATTATATGTACATCAATTATATGTACATATCTCTCTTGTTTTTATACATACATATATCATGTATTATATATTATGAATAATAGTGAGATGGATATATATCACATATCTCATATACATCATATTACCTCATTTACTTCTATAAAACACATGAAGCTCAGAAATTCATACTACTCTCTAGGTCACCCTTTTCATATAGCCACAGAGATTTATCTTTTAAAAGTTCTTCATCAATCAAATTGTTGCTTTTTTTTTTTTTTTTTTTTGGCACTGGTTCATAATTATTCCCCTGTGTTTTAATTTTAGAGTTTAACTTATTTATGTATATAGCAATTATTCCTAGCTTGTTTGCCTTTCTTACTGTTTTTCTAACTCAATCCTTTTAACTCTCATTTCTCCTTTTAAAATGGCTTATTTCTTTTTAATTGTCCCCTTTCTCTCATAGCATAGTCTCTTTCTCATCTCTATAAGCCTTATTCCCTTTATCTTCTTGCCCACAGAAGTTTTTGACTCTTTAAATTTTAGTCTTTCCATGAGACCCAGATAACGTGAAGGAAAATATAGTTTTGAGTACATCAAAATTTAAAACTTTTGCACAGTTAGAAAAATATGAACAAAGTTTAAGGCAAATAGTGGAGAAGAAAGTATTTACAATATATATAATAAAAGGCAAATACATATAGAAATAGAGACTACAACTAAAAATAAGGGGAGGGGGGCAAAACTCCAAGAAAGATGAACAAGGAATCTAAACAGGCAATTCTAAGAATAAAGATAAATGAACTACAGACATGAAAAGAAATGTTCAACTTCATTAGTAATCAAAAGGATGTAAATTATTCAACCAAGAGTTGTTATATTTGGCCTGCTAGACTGAAGCTGGAAACACTGGTAATATTCAGTGTTATTCACTGCTGCAACCTTATCCTCTCTCCACTCCAATCAGATTGCTGGATACTTACTATTTCCTTCCATATGTTTATTGAAGACACCAACCTCTGAAGGGTCGGGGCCTGGACTAGGGTGGAAAAGCAGGGAATTAAGGAAACAAGTACTTGAGGGCAAGGAAAGTGGCAAGGAAGAAGTTCCACCTGATGAAGAGGATGATAGGCAAATTGGTCCTAGACCTGTGGGCACTTGTTTCCTGCTTCTGACAGCACCTGGGAAGACACCGGCCTCAAGGACAATGGCTGCAAGTGTGTTGCATCCTGGGAGCCTCACTGAAGACTGCCTGCTCCAGCAGAGCACAGAAACCATAGATTCAAAGAACTGAAAAAGTCAGGCAGGCTGGTGCAGTAAGCCTCGGTGGTACTAAAACAACTTTCTTGTCTACCTGGTAGAACAGGAACTCAGGGTCAAATAAAATAAAGACTAGTGATATTGCTTATATACCTGAGTTTGTGAATTAAAATTCATACTTGCCATATAAATGCATTTACCAATATATTATGAATATTAAAGCCAAACAGAGGATACTATGTTGAGGGTTCTTCCCAAGAAGAACTTCCTACTTTCATCTCCTAGTAGGTAGCAATCTAGATATAATTTAGGGATGTAAATATATTCAGATATTATCCCGAAATTAAAATGTTCAGGATTTAATGCCAGGTAACAAGTGCCATAATTCCCAGGGCAGAATACCAGCAAGGAGACGGCTGCACAGACATTGAGCTCTGGAGTTCTGCAAAGGGCTCCCTTCCAGCCTTCAGGTGAGTCCTGGCCAGCACACAGCATGCGAGGAGTCTGCCTGAGGCTGGGGAAGATACACTTGAAGGGAGCAGGTAGAATAATCCCCAGACCCCCACACAGGTTGGAATAGCTTGTGTTTTCACAAGACTTTTAATACCTGGGACACAGGGTAGAGTACTCAGAAGTATTTTATCTTAGCAGTGGGAAAAATTAGCTTTACACTAAAGGCTGCCTAATCCCACCTAACAAAGATTGAAAGCAATCCTCAAAAAAAAAAAAAAAAAAAAAAAATCAAGCTATTTTCAAGTAACTTTACAAAATCCCATAACAAAGATCAAGAATATGTAAAAGTATGTAAAAAAAAAAAAATCCAGCATCCACAACATAAAAATCACAATGTCTGGCATCCAATAAAAAAATTTTAGGCAGGAAAAATATGACCCAAAATAAAGAGAAAATGATCAATTAATTGGAACAGACCCAGAAATGACACAGATAATATAACTAGCAGAGAAGGACTTTAAAGTGGTTGTTATATTTTATACGTTCAAGAAGGTAGAAAAAAGCATGAGTACATTAAGGTGAGCAAAATCCTCACCTATCATACTAGGAAGTCAATAAATAATTATTAGTAATAAATTCATAGAAATGTGTTATTTAGATGAATGGTTGCAACCACTAGAAGAAATTTTAAAACTGGATTTTCAAGATATATATCGTGTTTATGGATTGAAAAACTCAACTGTTTAAATGTCTGTTATGTCTAAGTTGATCTACAGATTCAATTTAATTGCAGTAAAAAAATCTTAGCATCCTTTTTGTGAAAATTAACAAGTTGATTATATGCAAAGGACCTAAGCAATATTGAAAATGAAGAACAAAGCCAGAGGACTTACAATATCAGAGGTCAAGAATAATTAAGACAATGTGATACTAGCACAAAGACAGACAGGCCAATGGAATAGAATGAAGAGTTCAGGAACAGACCCACATACATAGTTAACTGTAGCATCACTACAATCTAGTGAGCAAAGAATAGTTTCTTCAGCAAATGATGCTAGGTCAATTGGATATCCATATAGAAACAAATGACACTTGCTCTCTATCTCTTTTTTTGTGAACTGTTACAAAAATGTATTTGAGACAAATAGAGGATGCACCTGGAAACAAGATCTCAACAGATTGAAATAAATGCTTCAGAGAATAACAGTCTGCAGTTTCTTTTATGCATTTGAGATTAAGGAGGGACTACATGAAGGTGAGAGAAAGCAAAGCAGGGATCAGATAACAGGACACTTAAGATCATATGCTTTCTTGAATGTGGTCACACTTTAGAAGGAGCGGTCTGAAAGTGGGGGATTTCAAAGATGTGTTAACCTAGATACAAACAAACAATGGACAGGACTTGCTCGATGCAAAAATAAACCTTTTTCTAAAGAAGTTATATTCGTGGGGCGTGACTACCCACCATGACCTGTCCAGTTATGAATTTATGACTTGGTCTCTATCTTATACCACCCATTAAAATTATTCAAGATAGATAATAGCAAATAATAAAACTTCTAGAAGAAAACATAGGAGAATTATTTCATGAATGGGGAACAAAGGTTTCTAACTACAACATAAAAGCACTAACTATAAGAGTTACTGAAAATAGTAATAAATTGGAAAAAAATGATAAACTGAATTTATTGAAATTAAAAACTTCTGTTTAAAAAAACACCATAATGAGCCCAGTATGGCTCAGTGGAGGGAGCATTGTCCCATGGACTGAGAGGTACTGGTTCGATTCCTGGTCAGGGCACACATGCCTGGGTTGTGGGCTCGATCCCCTGTAGGAGCATCTCTCTCACATCGATGTTTCTCTCTCTTACTCCCTTCTTCTCTCTCTAAAAAAAGTCTATAAAAATATATTTTTTTAAAAAGACACCATAATGAGAATAAAAAAACAAGTCAGACTAGAGCAAGATATTTTACATGCATACACATGTGTGTGTCATATGTGCACACGTGTTATATATACATGTCATATATATGACAAAAGACCCATATCCAGAATATATAAATAACTCATACAAGCCAATTTTTAGAATGAACGGAAAACTTGAACAAACATGTTAACAAAAGTGACAATATAAATAACCATAAGTATAGGAAAGGGGACTGAAAATCCTTTCTCATCAGGGAAATGCCAATCGCTGGGACTGAAAGAACTGAAAATACCAAGTGAAAAAAACTGGAGCGTTATGGGTTGAATTGTGTCCTTCAAAAAGATGTTGAGCCCTGGCCAGTTTGGCTCAGCAGTTGGAGCATCGGCCTGTGGACCAGAGAGTCCCGGGTTCGGTTCCCGCACATACCAAAAAAAAAAAAAAAAAAAAGATGTCAAAATATTACCCTCAGTACCTCAGAATATTACTCTTTGAAAATAGCGTCTTGACAGAGGCATTCAAGTTGAAATGAGATCATTAGAGTGGGTTCTAACATGACTGCTGTCCTCATAAAAAGAGGCAACATGGACAAGCACAGAGGGAGAGTTATATGAAGAGATGCAGAAGTATACCATGTGAAGGCAGATGGTGCGGAGTGATGCATCTATACCACTGATGGCTGGCAAATCACCAGAAGTTCAGAGATGGACACAGAACAGAGTCTCCCTCCCAGCTCTCAGTAAAATATAACTTAGCGAAGACTTTGATTTTGGACTTTCAGCCTCCAGAATTACCAGTAAATGTCTGTTATTTCTAGCCAACAAGTCTATGGTACTTTGTCATGGAAGCCCTAGTAAACTAATACAATGGGGATCAATTCGATTCTCATATTTTGATGATCAGTGTATTAATTGGTTGAACCAGTTTGTGTGTGTGTTTTTTTTAAACTTTTTAATTAATTTATATTTGTTTTAGATGTTTTTCCTTTTTTCCCCATTGACAGCCTCCTCCCCATCACCCCCGACACCGTCCCCAGATTTGATGTCCATGTCCATCGGTTATACGTACATGCATATAAGTTCTGTGGTTTATCTCTTCCCACCCGCATCCCCTTCTGAGGGATGTCAGTCTGGGCCCTACTTCCATGTTTCTGGGTCTACCGTATTCCTCAGACTGTTATGTTCATTATATTCCACAAATAAGTGAGATCACGTGATACTTGTCTTACTCTGCTTGGCTTGTTTCACTTAGGATAATACTTTCCAGGTCCCTCCATGTCATCTCAAAGGATAACAGATCTTTTTTTCTTACAGTTGCATAGTACTCCATTGTGTATATGCACTACTGCTTTTTTATTGATTTGTCTACTGATGGACATTTGGGCTGTTTCCAGATCTTAGCTACTGTAAATAGTGCTGCTACAAACATGGGGGTACATATATTCGTTCTGATTGGTGTTTCAGGCTTCTTAGGGTATATTCCTAGAAGTGGGATTACAGGGTCAAATGGCAGTTTAATTTTTAATTTTTTGAGGTAACACCATAGTGTTTTCCATAGTGGCTGCACCAGTCTGCATTCCCACCAGCAGTGTACTAGAGACCCCTTTTCTCCACACCCTCGCCAACACTTGTTGTTTGATGATTTGTTGATGGCGGCCATTCTGACAGGTGTGAGGTGATACCTCATAGTTGTTTTAATTTGCATCTCTCTGATGATTAGTGATGTTGAGCATTTCTTCATATGTCTCTTGGTCATTTGTATGTCCTGTTTGGAGAGGTGTCTATTCAGCTCCTCTGCCCATTTTTTTAATTGTGTTCTTTGTCTTCCTTTTGCTGAGTTGTATGAGTACTCTATATATTTTGGAAATTAACCCCTTATCTGATATATCATTGGCAATTATGCTCTCCCATACAGTGGGCTGCCTTTTCATTTTGATCATTGTATCTTTTGCTGTGCAGAAGCTTTTTAGTTTAGCTTTTTAGATGTAGTCCCATGTGTTCATTTTTTCCTTTGTTTCTGTTGCCTTAGGTGATATATCAGTGAAAATTCTGCTCCGTATGATGTCTGAAATTTTGTTGCCTACATTTTCTTCTAGGATTTTTATGGATTCATGAGTTACATTTAAGTCTTTTAGCCATTTTGAGTTTATTCTTGTGTATGGTGTAAGTTAATGGTCTAGTTTCATTTTTTTTTGCATGTAGCTGTCCAATTTTCCCAACACCATTTATTAAAGAGGCTTTCTTTACTCCACTCTATGCTCTTGCCTCTTTTGTCAAATATTAATTGAGCATTATGTCTAAGGTCAATTTTCAAGTTGTCCTGTTCCACTGATCTATATGCCTGTTCTTGTGCCAGTACCAGGCTGTTTTGATTACAGTAGCTTTGTAGTATAATCTGATATCAGATGTGACCCCACCTACTTTGTCCTTCTTTTTCAAGATTGCTGTGGCTATTCGGTGTTTTTTTGGTTCCATATAAACTTTTGAAGTATTTGTTTTAGTTCTGTGAAATATGTCATTGGTATTTTGATGGGGGCTGCATTAGATCTATAGATTGCTTTGGGTAGTATGGACATTTTAATGTTGTTAATTCTTCCAATCCATGAACAAGGTATGTGCTTCCACTTTTTTATATCTTCCTCTATTTCTTTTTTCAATTACCTGTAGTTTTCTGTGAAGAGATCTTCTACCTCTTTGGTTAAGTTTATTCCTCAGTATCTTAATTTTTTTGCCATGATGGTAAATGGGATTGTTTTCTTAGTTTCTCTTTCTGTGACTTCATCATTTGTGTATAAGAATGCTGTCGATTTCTTGACGTTAATTTTGTATCCTGCTACTTTGCCAAATTCATTTATTAAGTCTAGTAGATTTCAGATGGAGTCTTTAGGGTTTTCTATGTATAATATCATGTCATCTGCAAATAATGAGTTTCACTTCCTCCTTTCCAATTTGGATCCCTTTTATTTTTTCCTCATGTCTGATTGCTGTGGCTAAGACTTCCAGTACTATGTTAAATAAGAGTGGCAAAAGTGGGCATCTCTGTCTTGTTCCTGTTCTCAAGGGAAATGCTTTTAGTTTTTGCCCATTGAGTATGATGTTGGCTGTAGGTCTTTCATATATGGCCTTTATTATGTTGAGATATGATCCCTCTATTCCCACATTGCTGAGCGTTTTTATCAGAAATGGGTGCTGGATTTTGTCAAACGTTTTTTCAGCATCTATTGATATGATCATGTGATTTTTATTCTCCATTTTGTTTATGTGGTGTATCACATTGATTTGTGAATATTGTACCAGTCTTGCATCTCTGGGATGGATCTTACTTGGTCATGGTGAATAATTTTTTGATGTATTGCTGGATCCGATTTGCTAATATTTTGTTCAGGATTTTGGCATGTGTGTTCATCAGTGATATTGGCCCGTAGTTTTCTTTCTTTGTAGTGTCTTTTTCTGGTTTTTGAATTAGAATGATGTTGGCCTCCTAAAATGATTATGGACGTCTTCCTTCTTCCTGAATTTTTTGGGATAGTTTGAGGAGAACAGATGTTATTCCTCTTTGAATGTTCGGTAAAATTCCCACATGAAGTAGTCTGGGCCTGGGCTTTGGTTTGCTTGGAGAGTCTTGAATACATCTTCAATTTCCTTAGTTGGTCTATTCAAATTTTCTATCTCTTCCTTGTTCCGTTTTGAGAGACTGTGTTTCTAGAAATTTGTTCATTTTGCTTAGATTGTCTAATTTGTTACAGTATAATTGTTCATAGTATTTGTTAATGATCCTTTGTACTTCTGTGGTGTCAGTTGTTACTTCTCTTTCATTTCTGATTTTGTGTATTTGGGTTCTCTCTCTTTGTTTCTGGGTGAGTCTAGCTAAGGGTTCATCAACCTTGTTCATGTTTTTGAATAACTAGCTCTTTGTTTCATTGATCCTCTGAATTGGTTTTTTTGGTCTCTATGTCATTTATTTCTGCTCTGATCTTTACTATTTCCTTCCTTCTACTTGCTCTGGGGTTTTCTTTTTGTTTGCTTTCTAGTTCTTTAAGTTGTGAGGTTAGATAGTCAATTAGAGATTTTCTTGCTTCTTGAGGTAGGCCTGTAGTGCTACGAACTTCCCTCTCAGAACTGCTTTCGCTGCATCCCATAGAAATTGTGGTGTTGTGTGTTTATTTTCATTGCTTTCCAAAAAGTTTATAATTTCTTCCTTGATCTCCTCGGTAACCCATTCATCATTCAATAACATGCTATTTAGCCTCCATATGTTCAAATGTCTTTGCATGTTCTGGTTGAAATTGATTTCTAGTTTCATGCCATTGTGATCTGAGAAGATGCTTGATATGATTTCGGTCTTCTTGAACTTGTAGAGACTTAGTTTGTGTCCTAACATGTAGTCTTTCTTTGAGAACGTCCCATTTGCACTTGAAAAGAATGTGAATTCTGCAGTTTTGGGGTGTAATTGTCTGTAGATATCTATTAAATCCATTTGGTCTAGGGCTTCATTTAGAGTCTCTGTTTCCTTGTTAATTTTTTGTCTAGAGGATCTATCCAGTGATGTCAGCTATGATTGTATTGCTGTCAATTTCTTCTTGGTTGAACCAGTTTAGAAAACTGTTTAGCAGTATCTAATAAAGTAAAACATGCATATAACTTAGGACCCACCAGTTCCACTGATTACATGGCAAACAGAAATAAATGTTTATGTCCACCAAAAAAACATGCAGAAGAATATTCACAATCCAACTGCTCATAGTAGCCAAAAAAAGAAAAATAAAAGAAACAACTCAACTATTTAGCAATAAATAGTTAAATGCATAAATAAACTGTGGTATGCCGACTTAATGGAATATTACAAAACAATGAAAAAGAATGAGCTACTGCTTTCTACCACATGAATAATAACCTTAGGCATGATACCAAGTAAAGAAGCCAGATACCAAAGAGTTCATACTGCAACATTTTATTTATATGAAGTTCAGACAAAACTAATCTATGGTGATAACCATTCATTTCTGAAGAGCAAATTTTTATTGGATGCAATCATGAGGAATCTTTCTGGAGTGCTATAAATGATCTTAATATGAATATCAGAGATATGTGTTTATACATCTGTAAAAATTTATCAAGCTATTCAACTAAGATTTATGCATTTTAGCCCTTCATTGGTGCTCAGTTGGTTGGAGGGTCATTCCCTACACCAAAAGGTTGTGAGTTGGAGTCCCAGTCAGAGCACATACCTAGGTTGCAGGTTCAGTGCCTGGTCAGGGTGCATATGGGAGGCAACTGATCTCTCTCTCTCTCTCTTTCTCTCTCTCTCTCTCTCTCTCTCTCTCAAATCAATAAACATAGTCTCAGGTGAGTATTTTTAAAAAAGATATATGCAGTTTACTGTATGTAAATTGTATCTTAAAAAGGCAAAGAAAAGTTTTCCCTGAGAAGTCAAATTGGTACATGAGAGGGACTGGACAGGAAGTTGTTGTCTTTCATTGTAAGTTCTTTGGTTCTATTTTATTTCCGGTTTTTTAATATTTAAATGCTGTTTCACCTATTAGATCAAAAATAATTTGTCCAAAAGAGAAAGTAAATATGTATTACATAATTTGGTTTGTAAAATATCTAATTGTTAAACAAATTTCTCAGATTTAAACCAGGAAGGAGTAAGCAGAAAGCACAAGAAGGTATCAGTAAGAGTGATGAGAAGATTCCTTGAGATTTCAAGAGTAGTGCATATTTCAGGAGACCTCTTATCTTACCACTCTGATTAGTCACTGTAAACTATTTTATTCATATATATGCTCTCAAACATCTTAAGTTGCAAGAAATATGGATCCTACCTATTCTGTAGCTTCCTTAGGCCAAGTTGATGTTTCTCTTTTTCCCAAGCTAATTCCTTTTCCAGTTGTTGGATTTTAAAAGCTGTTCTTCTGTTTATCTCAGCACGAATTTTGGAATCTATTTCAAAATCCTGCAGATAGTTAGATTTGTTCATCAAAATGGGTACTTTTACCAGTCTACCTTATCAATTCTATATCATATCTACATATTTTTAAGTTTTGTCCTCTATTTCATGCAGCATCATTACTCTCTCCCAAATAAATAAACTCACTCTATTCTAGAAAGAAATAACATACTTTTGATTTTATTCCCACAATGGAAAAAGTTCCCAGAAATAAGAATCAATAATGCAAATGAAGTTCTATACTAAATGCTTTTTCTCACAATGAAAATAATGAATGCTAACAGAATATTTAAATAGTGTACAAAGTTGAACAAAATAATCCCTTCACAAAGTTTTAAAAATGATATTCCCTTCACTCCAAAGCAACTACTGTCACATGACCAGCTAGCTGGGCACAGGGTAGTTCATGGCACTGGATCATTAGCTGAAGACCCCCTCCCACGTGACCCTACCCAGGAAAGATAGCAAAGTCTTTGGTATTTTTTTAACATCACCAAGTTCTGGTTGAATGTCCTTCACCATGGGAGCTATTTTCCCCATAAGGATACTTAGAGGCCTCAAGTTTCTTACCTTCGCTCCTGTAAAAATGTCAGGGCCTTCATTCACACTAAACTGAGAGTAGCAACTATTCTTTCTCAAGGTGCTTGTGTTTTAAGTAATGACATTCACAGAGCAATTAGCCACAGGACACAGAACTTTCCTCAGTTGTTCTTTTTTTTTGTATGTGTCCCTACCAGAAACCAAACCCAGGATTCTCTGGTCCGCAGGCCAATGCTCCAGCCACTGAGCCAAACCGGCCAGGGCCTCAGTTGTTCTTTATTTTGAATTATGTCACCCATATTCTGAAAGTGTCTACTCTTTCTTAGCAAAAGAGCATAGGCATCTTTTAAGCAATATGAGTTAACCATTATGATTTTACACAGCATTTTTACATGAAATTGGCTAAGTGCCTCTAGATTAATAGGACTGGGCAAACCACAGATACAGTCAGGATGATAAATTCTGGGTTTTTATTTTATTAGGCTCTTGATAGTGCTTCCATTTAGGAAGAAGTACAAAATGAAAAAAAATACGTCATTAGCAGTTAAAAAATTAATAAAATTAAATACACAAACACAAAAAAATTTATTACAAAATTAGCTTAAACAATTAAGTGATCACCCCCATAGCTATAAATATACTAAGTCATCTTTCAGAAACTTTGTGGATAAAGCAGCTATTATCTTTTCAACAGATCTGATGGATTATAGAAATGGAACCACCAAGAATCAAATTATGTATATATGCACCTATTCAATAGTTAGATATTTTTATTACATGACGAATTGATTACCAGATTCAAACTGTATTTTGCCTTACCTTGTTACCAAAAAAAGGTAAGGTAGCTAAATCCAGAAGTCAACTTTGTATCAAGAGGTTTTTCTGCATCTAAACCAAGTTGTGTGACAAGTTCTACAGTAGTTTAGTTGCTGCCGACACAATGGCTGGCCAGATAAATGGAAGCTTAAAGATGATTTTAAGTGTTCCCACTTATTGGCCAAGTAGTACTCATCTCAAACCAGAAATTTATTTTTAAATTAAATTCAAATTTATTTTTTACTTACTGTCCGTTTAAATTGCATATGCTTTGGTAATTCTTCATTCATTTCTAGTAGTTTCTGAAACTGATTCCTCAAAGCTTTGAGTTCTTCTCTCTTCTTAGACTTTATTTCTTCCACTTCTTTCATTAACCTGTCATGTTCTCTTTTTCTTCTGGCATTCTCTATGCTGGAAACAGAAATTTAAAAGGGTAACAAATCAGGATACAGAAACAGAAAAAAGAAAATTAGTATTAAAATACTTGGAAATTTAGCCCAGCCAGTGTAGCTCAGTGGTTGAGCTTCGACCCATGCACCAAGAGGTCGCCGGTTCGATTCCTGGTAAGAGCACATGCCCAGGTTGTGGGCCCGATCCCCAGTGGGGGGCATGCAGGAGGAGGCCAATCAATGTTCTCTCTCATCGATGTTTCTGTCTCTCTCCCTTCCTCTCTTTCTCAAATCAATAAAGAAAAAATATTTTTTAAAAAAAATACGTGGAAATTTAAAAAAAAACTTGGAAATTTATTTAGCTTAGTTAACTTCTATAAAATGTTGGTTTGTTTTGCAAAAGCTCAGGCCCAGTCAGTATTTATCAAAAATTCCCATACCTGTAGGCTTTGGGATCTTCAATATCTCCTGGAGTTGGTTCAGTTTCAATTCCAAGCTGTAGGAAAAGAAATAAAATGTTAGTTCTTTTAAAATGCGTATTTCTCTGAAAATATCTAATCATAAATAAATTGAGGGCTTTTTCCCTGTCAATTTCTGAAAAGTATTTTTACAAAAAATAAACTAGGGAAAATATTGCAGTTGACTAAACTTATATTTGTTTCTGCTTCATTTTAAGTGGTAGGTAGAAAAACTTTTAAAATTTATATGTATGCAAAATGTTAATTTTGCCCCTTCAAAATGTGAATTACTAATATCCATGTGTTATTAACAAAAAATACACACAAAATTGTTCTCAGTCATTTATTTTAAAATACTGTCTTTTATTAGAACATCCCTTTCATGCATAACATCCCTTTCATGCATACACAATTCCCCCAAAATACCTCATGTGTATACTAGACAAATTATACATAATTTTAAGTTTTAGAAAGCATCTCATTTGACCTTATCAAAAGAAGATATATAGTAGGAAATGTACAGAATATAATGCCCCTCTATGAGAAAGATATGAAATCAGAAATACAAATCTTTTTTTTTTTTTTTTATCCTCACCCGAGGATATTTTTCCATTTTTTATACAGATAGAGTGGGAGGGAGAGAGAGGAAGGGAGAGAGAGAGAGAAACATCGACGTGAAGGGACACATCGAGTGGCTGCCACCCGCACGACCAGCCAGGGCCGGGGACAAACTGCAACCGAAGTACGTGCCCTAGCGGGAACAGAACCCGAGTCTCTCAGGACCGCAGGCCGACGCTCTAACCGCTGAACCAAACCGGCCAGGGCAGAAATACAAATCTTTTTTTAGAAAAAAAATCAGTTTAAATTAAGGAGTATTATGAAGTAAATCTCTTAAGCTCTTTGTTTATTCAGGTGCTGTGCTATAAAATGTCATAGCCTGTTAAAGAAGAGGAATTATAACCTAGTGAACTAAAAGAGTCTTAGTTTACTAGCTAATCAGTTCTTAAGTAGAATTGAACTTGTTTATTCTCTATTCTCTTTTATAACAGATAGGTCTCTGTTTTGCTATCACTCATTATAAAGACACAAAGACTCTCTTTTGATCACGTTGTTTTATTACAGTACTAGTCTTTATACATATGAAATGTAAGTCTACATATTTTTATGTAAGACAGGTTTATGAGTTTAGTAAAAGTGAAGTCATAAATCATGACCAATGTAAGAGACAGTGATGGCTTGTTAATCACTTAGGACATAACTTGATTGAATTTTATTTATTTATTATTCTTTTAGTTCAAAATATAAACCCCTTAGTTCTCCAAATTAGTGTGATTTTCAGGATCTCCTGGCTTCAGCTGTTTACAATAAGTTTGAGTTTATAGAACAGAGATGGTGGTGGAGTGAATGGAAGCTACACAGACCCATCTCCCAGGACCAAACTGGAATTACAACCAAAAGAAAGACAAATCATCAGGAAAAGCAACAGAAGAGCAGCTGGAAGAGAACCATTACAATGAGGGACAGAAAGAGGATGCCAATCGAGCCTGGTAGGAATGGTGGAGGCACGTGGGGGTGGGCTGGGAGCCCATGGACAGCAACAAGGGCTGTATTAGAGGTATGTGCTTCTCGCTGAGAAAGCAGGGGTTTTTAAAAGCACCAAATCAAGTACAACTCCTCACTTTGAGATCCAGCAGAGGGATTGCAGACTGGACTGGAACTGTGTGGAGAGAGTCCAGGGCTCCTGGCTCTCGGAGAAAGCTGAGAGCTGGATAGGAGGGTACCAGGAGTCTTGTACTGAATCACTCCCTCACAGGACCATAGCCATATTACTCAAAGAGCCCCTTCCTAGAGCCCTAGGGAGAAGCAACAGTCCCTCCCTCAGGAATACACCACCACTGAGCCAGGACAGAGAAATGCAAATTGAGGTCCATTAGCATCTAATTTCTGACATCAAGCAAGTGCTCCACCCACTGGAAATCCTCTTACAGCTGAGGGAATTTTCATTCAGCTGAGGGCTACAACCCAAGGCTCATCAAGTAACTGGGACTAATAGCCTCCAGGCAAAAAGCTAGAAGATAACTGAACCTTTCCTTGGCTTGCGAATCTACCCAGGAAAGTAACACTTGACAGTGCTGTTTAACGTGGGTCCTCCCACACTCATCCAAACCCAGCAGAGGGAGCCACAATCAGTGGAACACCAACACCCATAAGGAAAATTTGGCAGGCTCCGAAACCCATTGAGACAGCCAAAATGGTGAAACAAAGAAACAAATCCCAGATTCCAAAATGGCGGCAGAGTAAACAGAAGCTACACAGACCGTCTCCCAGAACCAAACTGGAATTACAACTATAACACAGACAAATCAATGGGGAAAAGCAACAGAAAAGCAGCTTCCAAGGGCCATATAACCAGGGACACTGACTCAATCCTGGTAGGACAGCAAAGGCGCGAGGGGGGCTTGGAGCCCACAGACAACAGCGGCCTTAGTTGGGAGCAGCGCCGTCAGGTTAAATTCCCAAGTGTCTCCACAGCGCAGAACCAGGACAGAGGCTAAAAAAGCCACAGCCATTCACCTTGGGTTCTGGCAGAGGGAGGGCAGACTGGACTGGAACTGTGTGGGGACACTCGGGATTTGGAGGGCACTCAGAGCTTTTGCTGAGTTGCTGCCACGCAGAACAGTAGCCATCTTGCTCCTTCCCAGAGCTGTGGGGAGACGCAGCAGCCCCTCCCTCGGAGATTCAACCCCACCCTGTGGGCAATTAAAATGCTAATTGAGGCTCATTAACAACCAGCATCTGCCCACCCTCGGGAAATCTCCTTATGCTGAGCACCTGAGGGAGTTTTTCAATCAACTGACAACCCAAAATTTTTCAAGTAACCTCGACTACTAGCCTCCAGGCAAAAACCTAGAGGATAACAGTACCTTTCCTGAGCTAGCAACTTTAACCAAGAAAGTAAGACTTGACAGTGGTGTTTAACGTGGGTCCTCCCTCGCTCATCTAAACACAGGAGAGGGAGCCACAAACAGCAGAACACCAACACCCACAGGGAAAACCTGACAGGCTCTAAAGCCCACTGTGAGAGCCAAAATGGTGAAACACAGACACATAAGCCAAATGAAAGAACAAGAGACCTCCACCGAAGATGAGATCAATGTGGAGCAGTTAGGCAAGTTAACAGAGGTAAAATTCAGAGCCATGATCTTGAGGAAGCTCAACAGCATGAGTAAGGATGTAGAGATGCTGAAAATAAACCAATTGGAAATTAAAAACCACCAAGAAGAGATAAAAAATGACATATCAAAAATGAAAAACACCTTGGAAGATCTAAAACGCAGAGTAGAAGAAGCTGAGGACCGGATAACTGAATTAGAAGACAGGGGAGGAAAAAATCAACCAATCAGAAAACCGAAAAGAAAAAATGATTAAAAAACAGGAAGACAGCTTAAGACAACTGTGGGACAACTGGGAACTTAATAATATTTGCACCATAGGAGTCCCCAAAGAAGAAAATGTGCAACAGTTAGAGAATATATTCAAAGAAATAGTGACAGAAAACTTCCCTGATTTGATGAAAAAAGAAGGCATTCAAATTCCAGCAGCACAGAGAACCCCAAGTAAGAAGAACCCAAACAGGCCCACACCAAGACACATAGTAATTAAAATGCCAAAAATTAAAGACAAAGAGGGAATCGTAAAAGCAGCAAGAGAGAAGCAACAGGTTACCTACAAAGAAAACCCCATAAGGCTCTCAGCTGACTTCTCACAAGAAACACTACAGCCAGAAGGTAATGGCATGAAGTAACCAAGGTCATAAAAAACAAGGATCTGAATCCAAAACTACTCTACCCAGCAAGGCTATCATTCAAAATAGGTCAAATAAAGAACTTCCCAGACAAAAAAAGGCTAAGGGGATACATTAGCACCAAACCAGCATTGCAAGAAAAGTTAAAAGGACTACTGTAATTAGTAGAAGAAATAGGAAGAAAAATAGAACCACACTAAACAAAAATGGCAATAAACAAGTACATATCAATAACCACCTTAAATGTAAATGGACTGAATGCTCCGATAAAAAGACACAGAGTAGCTGATTGGATAAGAAAGCATGACTCATCTATATGTTGTTTACAAGAGACCCACCTCAAAACAAAAGACTCACATAGGTTGAAAGTGAAGGGATGGAAAAAATTTTTCCAAGCAAATGGAAAGCAAAAAAAAGCTGGGGTGGCAATACTCATATCTGATAAAAATAGATTTCAAAATGAAGGCCATAACTAGAGACAAAGAAGGCCACTACATAATATTGAAAGGATCTATCCAACAGGAAGATATAGCCTTGATAAACATATATGCACCCAATATACGAGCACCAAAATATATTTAAAATCTTCTGGAAGACTTCCAAGAAGAAATCGACAACAATACAATCATAACAGGGAATTCAGGACCCCGTTCACAGCACTGGATAGATCCTCTAGACAAAAAATTAGCAAGGAAACAGAGACTTTAAATGAAGCCCTAGACCAAATGGATATAATAGATATCTACAGACAATTACACCCTAAAACTACAAAATTCACATTCTTCTCAAGTGCACATGACACATTCTCAAAGACAGACCACATGATAGGACACAAATTAAATCTCTGCAAGTTCAAGAAGATTAAAATCATATCAAGCATCTTCCCAGATCACAATGGCATGAAACTAGACATCAATTGCAATAAGAACATGCAAAGACATTTGAACACATGGAGGCTAAATAGCATGATATTAAACAATGAATGGGTTACCAAGGAAATCATGGAAGAAATTAAAAACTTCCTGGAAACCAATGAAAATGAACACACAACACCACAAAATCTATGGGATGCAGCGAAAGCAGTTCTGAGAGGGAAGTACATAGCACTACAGACCTACGTCAAGAAACAAGAAAAATTTCTAATTGATTGTCTAACCTCACAAGTTAAAGAACTAGAAAGCAAACAAAAAGAAAACCTCAGAGCAAGTAGAAGAAAGGAAATAGTAATGATCA